ATGGAAGACGTTCCACATTCTAGTGTAAGAGAGAGGATGGGACAGAGCAGTGGGCATTAAGCAGATGAGCTGTGAAAGCAGTGATAGCTACCAATTAGGAAATTATTTTAATTAAAACTGATCTTAATTTTAAAAACTAAACATAAAGAAATTCCCCGTTCTGAAATTGCTGAGTTAGCAGGAGGGGTCCACCTGGGCGCACTGCCGGAAGCAGAGCTGCAAGCTCAGAGCTGCTTTGCATATTTAAACAAGCAGAACTGCTAAGCAAGCAGTCCATCGCTACCATAACTTGCCCTGTATGTTAATTGTTCTTGCAGCCGCCTGGCTCGGTTTTGTAACTCTACCCTGATAGTTGCACAAGGAAGAAAGTTGGGGTGTTCCTTTACCTTCCAGGAAGATGATGTATCCTTGCTTGTAAACAGTCATTGTCTTCTAGCACCATGCTACTAAATACAGAATGCACAGCAAAATTTCTTAGGACATTTGGACCAGCTTCTATGGTTTATGTTTTTCAATTACTTCCTTTACCATGTCAGTAGTAGTAGTACCCAGCCAGGGGAGTTTGGGAACTTCTGGGGTAGACATTAACTGAATTTCATGACCAAGTCTACTTATTTGTAACTTGAAAGATCTTGTGGCATGTGGTGCCATCTGTAAGTGTTTTATAGAAGACATTCTGTCAGATTCCCAACTGCTCCTATCTGCGTGGTTTTTTGGATCCTTTTGAGTGTCAGAGGTGTTCCTGTCTTTTAACTTTGGAGTCATATTGAGGAAATAGTTTGCTAAATTTGTCTTAATTAAGAAGTAAATTGCTTCTCTTCCATTTTGTTGTTTCAAATGCTTCACCTATGGTTGAATTCAGCCTTTAACCACCAGGATTCCTCAAATCTTAAAATGGAATATTTCCCTGTATATTTAATAGACATACAGATTAAATGATATTTTTACATATTTAAATGTAATCTACCTTTTTTTGTCTCCCCCTTGATAGAAACAGTACGGCCGAAAACACCACCTGTTGCAATAAAGCCTCAAATAAAATCTCAAGAGGTAAAAATGCTGGTATATTTTATCTGGTATTTAATATGTGAAGCTGTTCCTTAGTAGGTAATTATGCATCCTTTTGAGTAAGTTTGGCTGTGAAACCATAATAATATAGTATCTGACAGTCCTAACCTGCTGCTCTTTTGCTGTGATAATTTTTAGCATATAATCTTGAAACTGATTTTCATTAGAAGAAACAGTAATTTATCTGAAGAATGCTTTCATTAGTATCTTGCACGTTATAATATGTTTTTCCTCCCAAGAGTGACATTTCCAAAATGTTTGTAGTAGAAGGTTAGCATTGTATTTAGACATGAGGAGTACCTTCATAAAAATGTACTTATGTGCCATGTTCTGTCCAACTCTTCAGAAGTGGTCAGGCTGGAGTATAGGAAATCTAAATGATGCATTGCAATAGCAACATTGTTTTATTGCACTTTCACTTGATACTGCAGAAACCTGTACCATAGGCATGTAATGACCCTTGTTAATTTCTGGATTGTAAAATCAGTGCCAGAGTACACTCTTGGCAGAAGCAGAGCTGTGCATTCACTTGCCAATAATATGCAGAGGACTAAATTAAGCTACAAAGATTTCTAAAGAACAATCCTCTCTTAATCTTATTCCTGTGTAGAAAACTGTTACTGAATTGTGGTCAAATTTTTAGTGTTAATCTTAGGTCCTGTTGTAAACTACTTATGAGTTTTTTATTGTTTCTGAAGATTACAAAAACAGAATTAAAGTTGTTAAGCGAACACAAAAGGCAGCCTAGGATGTAAAGCAGATCATTTTCAGTACAACTATCTAACATTTTTGTCTGTACAAAAATACTCTTAAAGAAAAGTATCCCATAAAGAAAAATAGTTGTCAGAAAAACGCATTTGCTTTGGATTTTGCTGACTCTATTTAAAAGCAGCCACATGAGTGGAAATATGTATTGGTGACATTTCTTCCCCTGTCTGGATAAGTTTATACTAAACTGTCTTGTTGCAGGATGAGGAAGAGATTTCCACAAGTCCAGGAGTATCAGAATTTGTGAGTGATGCTTTTGATGCCTGTAATCTGAATCAGGAAGACCTAAGAAAAGAAATGGAACAACTAGTGCTAGACAAAAAGAAAGAAGAGACTTCAATAGTAGAAGGTAAAGCTATTATTACCTCTGCGTCTTAAGTAGAGCAATTCTAGGAAAGGCTGATTTAAAAAAAAAAAAAGTAATTCAATTTAGAGAAGTAGATTTGTGACAGTTTCTTCAAAGTGTATGAAATGAGAATTTAGCAAATTTTTCAAAGTGTATGCAATGAGAGATTGCAGAAATTAATTATAATTTTCACCATGATCAAACCATGTCTTACACAGAATGTTAGCTATGAGGGGTTTAAATCCAAAGCACCTAAGAAATTTTAGGTCGCTCTTCCATGAAAGTGAGTATGGGGCATTTTTTCCTGTGTATCTCCTCCTTTCCCTGCCTTCTCTTTCATTGGTTCTTATGCGTACAGTTTTTTGTTTCCTTTAAATTTTGCACCAGACTAGGAGCTTGCAGAGGCCTCTGCTCTAGAAGGTTTAGAGGCATTTGGAACACTTAAATTTTAACAAAGAGTTCTGAGAATGATGAGAAGAAATTAGATGGAGCTTATACTTAAAACAATTCAGAAGAACTAATATTAGTGTAAAGAGCATAAAAAACAGTCTGTGATGATCGGACTCTGGCCATATACAATGAACAATTTACTATGAAGACACTTGTGTATGTAGATGCTTATCAGGTAATTCACCACAATTTTCAGAATTCATCTTACAATGTGCTGTGGATGTTTCTGAATCATTGTTTTCTGAATTATTTTTTTCCAATACGTAGCCAAGCTTGAGGAATTGTTATGAGTAAAATCAGATTCTTGCATCTATTTCTTTGATGAAAGTGTTTCAGTAAGTCATTAATGTGTTATTTGTTCAGAGAAATCTCAGCTGGCCTTACTGACTTGGACTATGGAATTGCGTACCTTTGTATCTAGGCTGAAGCACTAACCAACATGTAACACATCAAACACCCATCTCCTCCCCCACACTCTTGCCTATGATAGGTAGAGCTAATTAAAACAGAGATTAGTAACACTGTAATGCCTTCTGACTCATTTTTTGCCCTGAAGTATGAAATATGATTACCTTTAACCCTGATTAAATGAGCTTACCTGCTTCTTTGTTTTAAATTAGCCACAGTATTTGATCTTCGTTTTTTTTCATAACAGTATATAAACACATTAATGAACTTCATATTTTATGGAGATTTAAAAGTGCAAACTTGATTCAGTTGATAGCAGACTGAAAGACTGTAGGAAATGATGTTGCAAAGGGATGCTTATAACGACTTAGCTATGTATTTGCTTTTTAGATCTTTATTATAGTATGCACATAGGAATATAGACTTGTATATTACTTAATTCCTACTTGTGATCAATAAGAAGGTGAAATTTCTGATCTTGAAGTTTCTTTAGTTTTTAAGGAGAATTGTCAATAAAGTTTAGGAAATACAAGAGAGGTGCACTGCAAATTCATCTGCTTTTATAATAATAAGCAACATTCTATATTATCAATTAAATTCTTACACATTATTTATCTCTTGTAGAAGAAACTGCTGATTGGGAGAAGGAATTACAACAAGAGCTTCAAGAGTATGAGGTGGTGACAGAATCGGAAAAGCGTGATGAAAACTGGGATAAAGAAATAGAAGAAATGCTGCAAGAAGAAAATTAAGCTTTTTCACAAAATTACTATAACCCAAAGCTTTTTCTGAAGACTGACATGGATTTCTGCTTTCATATTTTGCTTACAGAAATATCTTCAAAAGACATAAAAGAATCTAAAATCATTATAATTCCATATGGGAATACAACCAGTATTTCTGTTCTTTATATGAGCAGTTTCTGAACTTCTATATTCTTCAAAAGAAAAAAAGAGGAGGCAGACACTGCAAGTTATATGCCATAATTAAAAGTGATAACATTAATACATGAAGCAACAGTTCATGTTTTTAGGTGGTCAAGAAGCTCTTCAAAGAGATTTCTAAACATAAGAATCAAATTTTTTTTTGTCTACAGCCTTCTGTTTAGGATGTAAAAATGGATGTTGTAAGTAACTTAGTCCTTGAAAACAATTCTCTCTTGACATTTGCACTCTGATCCCTGTATAATCTGTAAATGTGTATTATTTTGAGGTACTTGTAGCTGGTAGCTTTCATGTGTATTTAACTTCCTTAATGTATGTAGCAAATCAATTTGTAGAAAACCCTATTGAATAACTTTCAATGATTTGTTAAAAAATACTAATGCAGACTCCAAAAGAAGCTGATTATTTATCAGTCAGGTGGCAAACATTTAAGCATTTAAATAAGGATAGAATTATTAACTGCTTGAATTAAATTTGTTTTTGTTAAATCATCATATTAAGATATTGCCTTTCCCCACAGAGAGAAATAGTTTAATGTATTCTCTCTGCAGAAGGCTGTTATGTTTCCATTTAATTTTGCTGTCTGAGCTGAGAGCAAATTAAATGTTCCTCTTTAAGTGCTGAAACATTTATGTAAAAACTTTTGCTGGTTTGGACACCTTTATTAAATACTGTAGATATGTATAAAATTGTCTCTTTTATTTGGAAGGAGGGCAGAGTGAGGGGCAAGCATACTTCAGACTTACACAGATTTCAAAAATATACATTGTCACAGTGCTTAAGACGTGGAATTTAAATTAAAAAACAGGGGGTTTTCTCTAAAAGATTTTTGATTCTTCATAGGCATCTAGATGTTTCCTGTAGTTTTACCATTAAGTCAGTATCTTCATATATATAAATGAAAATTTGATGTTCTATTTGTCACGTTTCATAAACTTCTGTGACAAAACATTCACGAAATTCCAAATACAAAGGAAAATGGGTAAAATTAAGTAGGTTGGAGCCATTAAGCACAATTGAATTATAGGCATGTTACATACAGTAAGCTCTGTCTTAATGACATAATTCTGCAGAAAACTTTTGTAAAGAGACTGAAAAAGATTATAGCTGTAATTACTCAGTCAATATTCATCCCGTGGGAATTGAAAAGAGCTAAGTAGTTTTAACTGCTGTTACCGCAAGAAAGGTCTATTTAAAATTGTCTCCATTAGCAACTTGGACAGAAAGCTCTCCTGTATTTCTCATTATACAAAAGGAATTGTTTTAAACCTGCATATATTTGGCTTCTCAAATTAGTTTATTGCCATGCACTTTCTCAACTACAAACCATTTTATGCAGAATTTGTATTTTTATAGTGTTTTTCACTTAGTAAACAGATGTGAGATATGTCATGGTAAATAAGAGTTACTTAAGAAGCTTTTTATATCTAGGATTAATTAAAGACCACGAAAGTCAAATCTGTTACGCTCATAAAAATGAGACTATTCGCAGCTTAATGGTTACTCTTGACAAATTCAACTGCTTATAGATTTAAGCTGGAGATATTAAGATCTGTCTACTGTACAGTTTGACACAACACCTTCTGAAAAGATGGGCAGTTCTATTCTGAGAGTGGCAAGCCTTCCCTGGATGACTAAGAGTTCAAAATCTCCAAATGCCAATCTTCAGTGCTCCAAATGTCCGCTTTCTTAAAAATAAGCCTGATCATTCCTAGTGTTTTCAGATGTATTATTACCTTATTTGCATGGGGTTTGTATATAAAGCCTTATGTTTGTTTTCATGTAAGCATAACCTATATAGTGGTTCAATCTCTCATGAAAGATGGTTCCTACATATAAAACCTTTGTTTTCCAAGTTCCATGAAAAGCATGTCTATGAAAAAAAATAAACCAACCCACTATTTGAATTTACATTTAAACAGGCAATAATGTAGCAAGGCTGAATCTGACTAGAACTCTGATATTTAAAGGCTCTTATCAAATATCATATTAATATTTTCCAATATGCATATCTGGTTTTAACCTGTAAAACTGGAGTAAGTTTTGTGTAATTCTGCAGTTTTCAGGCCTGCCCTATGCTTTTCATTTAGGTAGGTGCTACAAGTGCCTAGCAGTTCTTACTCTGCATGGAAAGACGGAAAGTGTCTGCATTCCACTTGTCACATGAGATGAACACAGGTAGACTTCTTCACATTCTCTGTGAATTTTGTATGCCTTTGTAGCCCAAATGTGTCATAATAGTATATATACATATAGTATATAAGCGAGTGTGTTGATGTTTTCTTAATAGCATCATTCCAAGCACTGGGATGGTGCAGATGCTAAAATCCAGCAACACAACAGTATGAAATCAATGACAAAATGAAAAGAAACTAAGAATTAATGTAAATCACACCATCCTGTGGATACAATGTGACAGAAAGTGCAGTTGTTTAAAACATTGAGGAGAAGCAAACAATCAAAAAGATTGTTAACAAGTTTTCTTAGAAGAAGTTGAACTTGCAAATTTTGGAATTAACGTTTTAGAAACAGGGAAAAGATTACCCCGGAATCATGTAGGTTAGCTTAGAATAGTGATACAGCTTTCTTCTGAGATGCCAACATCTCCAGATCTTCTGTGCACTGAAGAATCCTCTTCAGCTATTAAATTACTAGTCCAGTTGGTATAAGTTAATACCTATATGGAATTTTTTTATTTAGTAATTTTTTTGGAGGATGAGGAAGAGGAAAGATTGTAAAATCCTGGAATAAGAAAAGTGTAGTGAAAAGTTCCCTTACATTTTTATTCAATCACTTACAGCTGTTCTCTTATCACAGTTAACCTGCATTGTTTTAGTAAACTTTGGAATCTTTAGTTTGTTTCTTCAGTACTTTTTTTCCTCCTTGCTGTTTGGTGATCTTGGTGTTTGCTTGGTGGGTGGTGTATGTAGTACTGAAGCGCAGGACGTCAATTTTAACCTCATGCATTTAAAGAATAACCGCATGTGCAGGAGCCTGTCACCAGACTGTGAGATGCACCCTTGAACTGTCGGCCCCTTACACATTATTGACCTTTACTTTGCAATAGCTGTTGCGTAGAAAGGAACAAAGTGTGTCCGGTTACTTCTCAGTGCACTGCCAAGCAGTAGCAGCCACACTTGGCCCTCGGTCCATGGGCTGTGTCTGGAGTGTTGTACTGTTCCAGTGTGAAGAACCACCCTGATAATGATCTGGATTTCAATTCAGCAGGCGTTTAGAAGATTAATTGTCTGGCCTGATACTCTGTCTCAGTAAGTGCTGACTGATATATCTGTAACAACAGTGCAGTAGCCTACCCCTAAATACTGTTACCCGTTAGTAGATTTTTCTTCCAAATACTCATTTTCAATGCTATTTTTCCTTTGTTTGAAACCCCCCTTTGTTTGGGGTCTCTTGGGGGGTGGAGGGGGTTGTTAGATCATCATTCCAGTTTTTTTAAACAAAATGGCAAGTAACAGTCAATTAATGTCTTGCTATATTTTCTTTGTATATCTTAAAATTAACTATTGGAGAAAACAACAATTTCTGCAAAAACATCAGAAGACATGCATAGCTTCATTTTGTTCTCAGTATAGCCCAGTATTTTTTATATATATATAAAGAGGATGTATATATATGCAAACCCACATTTATTAATGTGTCTAAATACATTTAAAAATATTAATGATAATGTACTTTTCCTGTTCAGCTGTTACTTTTAACTAGATACCATTGTGAGACAAGGAGCAACCAAAATAATTAGCATTAGTTTGTCACACTATCATTTTTAATGAGACAGCACTCTGTAGAAATTATCTGTAAAAATGAAATCACTTGCTTTGTTTCCTAAAAGCCTGGTTTTCATTATGGCACAGGTTAGGCACGTTTGTTTTCCTTTGCTAGTTCAGGAATTCATGAATCTATGACAAACCTCTGCAGATAAACTTGGAAGGTATGCTTAATTCAAAACTACATGGGCAGATAGGGTTTTTTGTCTCTGTGATTTTGGCAAAGTAGGGAAAGACAGAAGAAAAATGCATTTAGTTCAGGGTAATATATAAAATTAGAAGAATGAAGACATGCATGCTTTGATACATGATGCTCTAAAGAAAACCGTGCTTAGTGTGGAATTTTTTTACTTGTATGCACACACAAAACTTTAATTATGCGGTTGCTTTTATTTATTTGTTCTCTTGGCTATGGTTTCCATACAGTGGAAGTGTGCAGGTTTCAGAGCCAGATAAAACCACTGCTTTTCTGCATTTCCTCTCCTTCCCAAGGAGAAACGAGCCCCATTTACCTCACAGTGAAATAATGGCCAGAAAATGAATTGATTATACCCAGCTTCTTGTCCCACTTACTTCAGAAATGTTTTAATGATGGCCTTATGCCCATTCATGACTTTGATGCCTGCAATTTAAACATCAAACAGTTTTGGATGAGCTGTATCATCACTGCCTTTCATCCTGTATCATGTGTAACAAGACTTTCAGGACCGTCGTGTGTTGGGTGGATGAAAGGTGCTGCTGTAAGAGTGATACTGGGAGAAAAGGAGAGGATAGGATATTTTAATATCATATTTTAAGGGGGGCATTTTTCCATATACCTCAAAATTTGTGGCAACTTTCCTTAGAGCTCATTCACCTTCGGAGTTCATTTTCTGGGAGGGATGTGTGACATGTATCATGCATGTAAGAGAAAGCACCACCCAGCTGACACATCTTTCATTTTCTGTATTGCTCCTCATCCCATTCCACATGTACCCTGGCATCTCGTTTGGTTTTATTTATAGCTACATGGTATGTTCAGCCAAGCATGTTTCCAGTATTGTCTACATCGGGCTCCAGGCAATTTCCCTAGTAGCCATCATTGAATTTTAGAATCCTGTGAAGTAGAAGAGTGGTGATTTGAGTTGCATCTTTGGTTTGTTTGCTTTTTCTCTTCCTGCCTTCATTTTAATTTTTGATTAGTCATTCTGTGAGAAGTTCCATTGGAAGAATTACTGTTCCTACTCAGTGTTATGGTTTCACCAGGAGGGAAGTGTTCCAAGAAAAATTCTAGTAGTCCAGAGCTTCTTCAAACTTCCAGTAAAAGCAATTATCATAATAATCATGGGAAAAGGACAATTTGTTACTGCATTTCAGTAGTTCCCTGACTGCATGGCATGTAAGAAAAGAAATAGTATCTTTATTTCACAGTTGCTCAATTGTCATTGTTTAGAGGTTTGAGCATCTAGTTCTAGTTTTCACCTTACTAATCTGATTAAAACATAATGAAGGAACTCATTTTTCACCCAGTTGCCTGGGAGTTGTCATCCACCCCCCCAGTGAAGGTGGTGAAGTATCCAAGAGAGGTGTCAGACTGGCTGACACATGTACAGGGTTCATGAAGTCAGACTACTCTTGAGTATGGTGATAACCATGTAACCTGGATGTAGTCCATAAAAATAGACTACCCAAAAAATTTGTAAAAAGTTGATGACTAAAGATTTTTACTATATCTTAAATAATAATTAAAAAGAACTTATTTTCCTAAAATTTCAGCTTCTTGCTTGTCAAAACATGAGACCACTCCACCTTCTTGGCAATGGCCAGTTGGGTGGAACACCTACTTGGCAGCTCCTAGTGTGTAGGATTGCACAAGCAATCTCCAGCAAGGTCATTAACAGGGCACAACTGAAAATATGTTCTCA